GAAAAATACATATAAAATAATGTAGGCCGATTTAAGTATTCTGAGGATGGGAGAATGCCCATAGAAATGCATATGACGCAAAAACATGGATTTCAAAACATTTTGCGCCCAGACATCTTTTTTTTTTTTTTTAAAGATTTATTTATTTATTTGAAAGTCAGAATCACAGAGAGAGAGAAGGAGAGGCAGAGTGAGAAAGAGGTCTTCCACCTGCTGGTTCACTCCCCAATTGTCTGCAATGGCCAGAGCTGCGCCAATCTGAAGCCAGGAGCCAGGAGCTTCTTCCAGATCTCCCACGCGGGTGCAGGGGCCCAAGGATTTGGGCCATCTTCCACTGCTTTCCCAGGCCGTAACAGAGAGCTGGATTGGAAGTGGAGCAGCCGGGACTTGAACCGGCGCCCATATGGGATGCCAGCAATGCAGGTAGTGGCTTTACCACCACAGAGCCGGCCCCCCAGGCACCTTTTAATTCCATTCCCATGGACTTTTTGAAGTCCCCTTGTATAGGAAAGGTACTCAAGGGAAGCAAACTGCCCCCAGCTGGGGTGGGGGGCAGTCAGGAAATCTCTCCGGGGTGGGCCTGGAAGACTAAGAGAGCCAGGGACTGCACGCAGTGGGGAAGTGAGCACGCAGCACGGTCGGAGTGAAGGACGCATGTGGGGAGGGTGGGCGGGGAAGAGAGCTGTTGCTGATGGCAGCAAGGGGCCTGCACGGCCCTGGGACACACACTGGCCAGGGATAATGCCGCCTGGTGTGCCCGTTAGGAGCGGGGCAGCCAGTCTCTGGATTTTAGCATCTTCCCCCAAATTCTAACCTGCTGCGAAGGAACGGAACGTAAGGTGTGCCCGCAGATAATCGGCTTTTATCCGTAACTCCATGAGGGGCAGAGCCGCTCCTGTTTTCAGGAGGAAGTTTCCACGCGCTCCCTCTGATGGTGAAAGCAGCTGGCGAGTCAAACCCCACAAAGCTCACAAGAACGAGAATTCTGTGTGCGGAGTAATAGGAACAAACAACAACTACACGTTTCTTGTCTCCCAAAGTCAGCAGAGCTTGGCTTGCAGTTCCAGCCTGTGTGCCTGCTTCTTCAACATTCGGCAGAGGCAGTTTCGCCTGTCTACAGGCTGCAGTGTAATTAACTGCAAAGGGGTTCACGGCTTTTTAAAAAGGCTCGACTGTCCTGATGGACGTTTGGTGTGTTGGTTAAGACGCCACGTGGGACGCCTGCATCCTCTAACAGGTTGTCCGGCTGGCGTCCTGGCTCTGCTTCCGCTCCAGCTTCCTGCTAATGGGAAGCCCAGGAGACGGCAGATGATGGCTCAAGTACTTCGTCCCTGCCACCCCTGTGGGAGACCCCATATTGAGACCAGGGCTCCTGGCTTTGACCTGGCCCAGTCCAGGCAGTGGCAGGCATTTGGGGAGTCAGTCAGCAGAGATGGGAGATTTTTCTGATATTCTGCTTTTCAAATAATAAAAATAATAATGATCATAACAAAAGACTTGATTGCTTGTTTTCCTACCATGCGCCTTCACGGGGAAAAGAAACATCAACATCTTCCCTCTGCAAGCACCAATGTTCATTCTGGACCCAACTTCCCCAGAGTCCTCTGTTCTCACGGGGGACAGGCTCACCAAGGCTGCCTGCAAGAGCTGGTCTCCGGCCAACGGCTGTTTGAGCCTTTTGTTATCTTGAAAGAAATCTGGTGAAATGCAGTTACACACCCAACATCACACTCCTTATTTCAACCACAATACTGTTTCTGGTGCCCCGATTTCTGAGGCAAAACGGCACCATGAGCTTTGTTGCTTTAAAGATTATTTATTTATTTTGAAAGAGTTGAGGGGGGAATCTCCCATCTGCTGGTTCACTCCCCAAAAGCCTGCAATGCCAGGGCTGGGCCAGACCAAAGCCAGGGGCCAGGAGTTCCTTTCTGGGTCTCATATGTGGATGCAGGGGCCCAAGCACTTGGGCCATCCTCTGCTGCTTTCCCAGGTGCATTAGCAGGGAGCTGCATCGGCAGTGGAGCAGCCAAGACTCGAACCAGCATCCATATGGGATGCCAGCATCCCAGGCAGCAGGTTAACCTGCTATGCCAACGCCGTCCCCTAGGTCATCAGTTTTTTGAGTATTTGCCAAGGCAGAGAGCAAGGCATAGATGGACAGAGAGATCTTCCATTCCCTGGTTACTCCCCAGATGGCTGCAATAGCCAGAGCTGGGCCAGGCCAAAGCCAGGAGCCAGGAGCTTCTTCCTGGTCTTCCATTTGGTTTCAGGGGCTCAAGGACTTGGGCCATCCTCTGCTGCTTATCCCAGGCCATTAGCAGAGAGAGCTGGATCAGAAGTGGAGCAGCCAAGACTCAAACTGGTGCCCGTATGGGATGCTGGCGCTGCAGGTAGTGGCCCAATGCACCATGCCAGAACACCAGCTCCAAAAGTTTATTTTGAAGAAAATTTCTTGCAGGGCAACGTTGTAGCATAGTGGGTTAAGCTGCCACCTACAACGCCTGCATCCCCTGTGGGTGCCAGTTCAAGTCCCTGCTGCTCCACTTCTGATCCAGCTCCCTGCAAATGGCCTGGGAAAGCCAGGAAGATGGCCCAAGTGCTTGGGCTCCTGCCACCGGAAGACCCAGATCGAGTTCCCGGCTTTGGTCTGAACCAACCCTGTTTTGGCAAATTTAGGGAGTGAACCAGTAGATGAAAGACCTCTCTCTCTCTCTCTCTCTGTAACTCTGCGTATCAAATAAAAATAAAGCTTAAAAAAAAAAAAAAAGATGATTTCTCTTGGGAATTCAAATGCTTGGGTTTAGTTTAGTTTCAGTTTTGAAAGATCCTAAGCCTCTCAATAAGTCTCTAAGGATCTACTTTGTAAAACATACGCGGCTCACTAGGCTAATCCTCCGCCTTGCGGCGCCGGCACACCGGGTTCTAGTCCCGGTCGGGGCACCGGATTTTCTGTCCCGGTTGCCCCTCTTCCAGGCCAGCTCTCTGCTGTGGCCAGGGAGTGCAGTGGAGGATGGCCCAAGTGCTTGGGCCCTGCACCCCATGGGAGACCAGGAGAAGCACCTGGCTCCTGCCATCGGATCAGCGCAGTGCGCCGGCCGCAGCGCGCTGGCTGTGGCAGCCATTGGAGGGTGAACCAACGGCAAAGGAAGACCTTTCTCTCTGTCTCTCTCTCTCACTATCCACTCTGCCTGTCAAAAAAAAACACAAAAAAACAAAAAAACAACTCTTAAATCTTTGGATGTAAAGTCCAAATTTTTTACTTCGAGTTTTCTGGGACCAACAGTAAAATTTCATGTGGTAAGCAAGGCTATGCGGGCAGCTGCCTGGCCTAGCGGTCGAGATGCCCACGTCCTCCGAGGACCTGGGTTGCAGTCATGCTCTGGTTCCTAACTCTGGCTTCGCACAAATGGAAATCCTGGGAGCACACAGGTGATGGCTCCAGTAGATGGGTTCCTGCCACCTGTGGGGGAAGACCTGGCTTGAGCCCTTGGCTCCCAGCTTCGGTATGGCCCTACCTCAGCTGTTGTGGGTATTTGAGGAGTGGCCTAGCAGATGGGAGCGCCCCATCTCCCTGCCTCTCAAGTAAAAAAAAAAATTTTTTTGGTTCCCTAAAGTGGGGCCCTGGAAGAGAATTTATTTGCAGGGGGGCTGGATCCCACAGCCCCAGGGGCAGAGTCACTTCAGGTAGGCCTGTAGCTGCCCTGCCACTCCAGTGGTGGGGAAAGCCCTTCATTCTGTGGGAAGAAAAGCACAAGCAGAGCGGGGAACAAACGCCAGGTAAGCCAAGGGACAGCAGGCCAACAGTCACCTGCAACTTGCATTTCTGTTGTAAAAGGACAGGACGAACGGGGACCAGAGGAGGTGCCCTCGCTGAGCCTTGATGAGGGTGAGACCTGGTGTCCGTGGCCCCCGAGCCCATGGCCCAGCCTGGCCACGGGGAAATCCTGAGATAAATCTCAAGAGGCACATGCTGCAGAAATACCTGACCAGTGGTGCTCAGAGCTGCGAGCTAATCAAAAACCAGAGTGCCGGACGAGGAAAGTCTTCTAAGGCAAAGGACGAGGGAGGCGTCACAAATCAGACAGACGTGTGGCATCCTGCAAGGGCTCTGAAGAAAAAGGACATCAGGCCACAGCTAAGGAAATCTGGATACACTGCGGGCGTCAGTGAACCACATCAGTACTGCACACTCGTCGTGACAATCCATCACACTAACCAAGACATTAATTGGGGCAACTATTATGAGGAGGTGCAGCACTGCAGTGTGGGGGAACTCGGTACCATCTCACAATTTTTCTGTAAACCATAATCTAAAAAAGAGTGCATGTGGGTGGGGGAGGTGATTAACACAGTTGGTTTGTTTGTTTTTGACAGGCAGAGTGGATAGTGAGAGAGAGAGACAGAGAGAAAGGTCTTCCTTTGCCGTTGGTTCACCCTCCAATGGCCGCCACGGCCGGCGCACCGCGCTGATCCGATGGCAGGAGCCAGGTACTTATCCTGGTCTCCCATGGGGTGCAGGGCCCAAGCACTTGGGCCATCCTCCACTGCACTCCCTGGCCACAGCAGAGAGCTGGCCTGGAAGAGGGGAAACCGGGAAAGAATCCGGCGCCCCGACTGGGACTAGAACCCAGTGTGCCGGCGTCGCAAGGCGGAGGATTAGCCTAGTGAGCCGCGGCGCCGGCCTACAGTTTTTTAAGACATTGTTGCAGTGACCCAGCACAGCTGTTATCAGAGCCCAGGGACGTCCTAATGCAGTTTCCACAACTATGAGAGGAGCAGAGAGACGAGGGGCTCCGCTTTCCCCAGCGCCGTGTCAAAACCCACGTCTCCGCAGTTCCCTGGAAGAAACCCACGTCTCCCGCCCGGGCCGGCACCGCTCACGGGCCAACGTGGAAGCTCAGCGAGACCTGCCAGGCAGATCTCTCTGTGCTGTCACTGGTGGCAACCTCTGCTCTCCCTGGACACTTATCAGTTACTGTAAATAATGTGATAGGCCTGCATCATTTGTAAATGTTTATTAAATGTCAGTAATTTTTACAAAGCAATATCAATAGCAAGAGGCAAATTTTTTGCAAAATATGTACAAAAGTAAAAAGCATTACTGCACTAGCAACTCCTATCAGAAAATCAAATTCTTTCCACTTTCAGACCACCTTTAGAAATAATTTATTGCCAATCCTGAACTACAGCACTGACAAAATAAATTTTACAGTATCAGATAATGTGCTTAGTTCTGGGAAAGTTATACAAAGATGTGAGTAAAGACTCCTAAGCCACAAGGAACTTTTATACAGAGCTAATACAAGTCAGGTTTTGTTAGGTACAACATCTATGAGGTTGTCACAAAATATACTTTCTGATAAGGCTTCTTGTGGTAAATGAGCTCTCACCGTAATAACAGCAAAGCCACCGAAGACATTTTGCGATTCTGCTTTCAAGTAAGAGGTAAAGAAAGGGCAAATGGCATAGTTGGTTGCATTGTTACAAAGACTTTGCAAGAATTGACCCTTATCCCATCCCCTTTTTGCCTGGTACCAGCAAACAGGCATGACTGAGGACAAAATCATCACTTACCATGGCAAGAAACAGTATTAAAAAAATAGTATAAATAAGCTTTCTACACAAGCCAAAGTCACATACCAAGTAGTGCATCACTGCCAGTGGTCGTCACTGACTGCAGACTGATGCACAGAAGGTCTCTGCATGTTTGATTCATCTGTACATTGTCATCACAATCAACAGATTTGTACACGTCACAAACACCTCTTACCAACCCAGAAAATCCTGCCATATCGTTAATGCTCTAAAAAACAATCAACGCTCCACGTAAGCTCTGGCTTACATTTGAAACCTGATGGTCAGATCTGAACATATTCATTTAAAGTTTAAGCATACATTCAGGTACAGGCAGAAGAGTGTGTGTGGCACAAACACTGCATTGCAGATGATGCTGTCGCTGCTGCCCGAAGGCTCCCATCCGACGGTACTAGAAAAGGCCTAAACAGTCCAACTGGTTTGAAACGTTCGGGTCAGACTCACACTTCAATCTACAGCATACATTTACCAAGCCCTAACCTCGTACCGTAATGAATATGGCCTCTGATCTGCTTTATCCGGAACACGGAGTCGCGTCCACACCCGCTCATCCCTCCCCCCTGGCATTTACTTGACCGAGAAGCTCACCTGAATCCAGCATTGAAAACAACACAGTACTTGAGTAATGCAGCACAAGGACAGACCCCCTGTGACGGCAGGACCTTAACCTTGGAATGACGGAAACGGAGACCACAGAACCAAGGTACTAAGTCGTATGGCCCAGGGAAAAACTCCTCAAAAAAACGAAGGAAAAGCTAACAGTGACTTGGTCTGGATTTATTAGGGAGTTTGTTACAGATGTGTGGGTTTAACAAGCATGATTTCATGGATTCAAACAAGAAATTAAGAGTTAACACTGATATTCAGCCTTCTCACTGCATAAACAGAAATAACATAGCTACAAATTGCAATGGAGAGAATCCTATTTCAAATGGCTTGGTCTGGGGTTTTGTCTAAATGTATCATTATATAATGAGAGCACCAATTTGAGGGTTTCTCAAATACTGATTTGAGTTTCAGGACATAACAGCTTAAGTTGGTAACTTTATTCTTCAAATAAATAAGGCATAACCGACATGTGTATTAATGCTGAAAATACATTTTACCAAAAGCATAAATACAAATATTTGGGTATACATTAAAAGTTAAGATTTAGCCATCTCCTTTTACAAAAAAAGCTACAGGGCAGAGGATTTCTGCTCAAGATCAAGGTACTAAGGTGATGCTATTTCCTTCTTTAAACCAGGCACTGCCAATGACTGAGCAAGGACTTCCCTAAACAGCCCCAACATGAGAGACCAGAGGGCCTTCTCTATGTCACGCCAATGCACTTGTAAGGAAAGCCAAACGAAAGCGAATCATCATTTCATTCCACTCTGCCTTCGCTGGCTGCACGCTAGCCACCAAGTGCCCCTTCCAGATAACAAAGCTGAAACGAAAATTCCAAGCGAATATTTGGCAGAAAGCAACAATTCTGATTACTGAAAACACTCGCATGGCAGAGGCACGCCTTGAATCATTTAATCTTCAGAAACATTTGACAAAACCCATTCCCCATAAAAATTAAGGTCTACGGTTGTTGGATTTGTACGCAACTCTGATCTCATCCACGTCTTCTAGGGCCACAAACACTAGGGTGCTGTCCCTCCAGAATGAGAAGGCATGCAGGTTCACAGACAACGAGAACATGGAGTTAGGCACATTTTATTCCAATCCCAAACCACAAGGATTTAGAAAATCACACACATCAAAGAAGTCTACATCTAAATTACTTTTTTTTTTTTTTAAAGAGACTGGGGGCAAACTGGCATAGTAAAAATTATAAGCACCTTTTAAATTCTGTTCAGTATATTCTCTCCCTCTTCACAGAGCAGTATTTCAAAAGCATTTGGTTTTCATGATATGGGTAGAGGCTCCTTCAAACAGCTTAAAACACAGCACAGAAAATGGACTGAGTGTCCAGACTGAACGCACAGTTCTACTGAACGCTTCAACAAGCCTGCTTATATTAAGTAGATGTGACTCACTGCCTCAAAATACAGTCTGAAGTTTAAAACAATGTTAATTCTGAACACACACACACACATCAGGGAAGAACATTTGCAAAAGCCCCTGATTTTTGGTGCTTTAACACTTCCGGGTGGTAGTCAAGATGGTGATTTCTGCTTTGAAGGCAGTATTTATGACTCCCACCACACACATAATGTAAATAAGACTTCGGGTCCTCTTCCTACAAGGAACTGACTTTACCCTTCGTGGGAGCTGAATGTTTTGGCCATTCAAGAAACTATCTGCTAGATTTACGATTGGCCACCGAATAGTCCAAATGTGACTGTGTACAAACTCAGAAATTGGTTACTACAGAAATCAAGCTAACCTTGTGAACTCAAACAATGTATTCTTTTTGGCAAGAAGCACTAGATGTAGAACTATTCAAACATGCATGATATATACTATGAACAGCTGCATGATACTGTCGGGCTACAAGTCTGCAGCTCATGTATTACCAAGGCATGAAAACACTGCAAAACATATGGACAGAATGATCATCGAGGAGCTTCCCACACCAGAAGTCAGCTGTGCCAAGAACGGTCCCTGGCTGGCTCACGGAAGAGCTCTGCTCTCACCCTGACAGCAAGACAGAACAAGAGCCGTGACTCGGGAAGGCTGTGTGGTCTCTAACGCTGAACAATCCCTGAGCACAGGCAGCTGTGCGCTACAGCGACAGTATCACAGTCCCGTCACCATGCCCGCGAAAAGCTGGCAGACTGGGCATTGGTTTCTCTACTCCAAAGCTAACTTCACACACAGCCCACTCGGCAGTGTTTCCCGCACTGCACACCAGCCACCCTGTGGGGCTCAACGTCAAGGTGTCCGTGATCACAAAGCCCTTGGCAGTGGGGCTCGGGGTTAAAGGTGGCCACCTTCCGGTGTGAACTGAACATTGGAAAGGTACCTCAATAAAGCTGGCATCTCATACACAATAATTACAAACATGTACACATTGTATCTTCTACAGACACCAAGAATGAACGAGAGTCTCAAATGCCTTCTTGAGTAGTTTGACAGGAAAATATTGCTCTTGGCAAGCTCCAAACAAACCAAAAGAAAAGAATCCCATGAATGCCGGCCTGGAGCTGCTGGGGACGAACAGGAGGGGGAACCTGACGATGGTGAGGACACAGCAGAGACTTCCCACCGTGGGGCCCAACGTTAACTGGAAAGGGTTTAAAGGCGACACACACGACATTCCGGGACAGGTGTGTGTACTGAGCAGGTTCTGCCACCAAGCTGTCTGCGTCTCTCAGTTGCTGTGCAGGCCCCAGTGTTTCGTACACGGCACATCGCATCGCACGCTAGCTGAAGGGCAGAGCGAGCGGCACTGCACTCATTACTTTTGACTGAAAGCTTCCACGCGGCACTTGCTCGCCTTTTGTTCCCTGGAGCATCCTCCTTAGCATCAGACCAGAGATCCTCACGTAAACTTGCACACACTAAGAGCACTGCCTTCAGAAACTTGGTCACATAAGCAATTTTAACAACAAGACGGCCAAACCCCTGCAAAGCTGCAGACTGCCATTCCCCACTCAGAGCAGTATTCCAACAGAACCTTTCGAGACAGGAGGGCGTCGCGGAGCCAGGCGCCCACTGTCACTGCCGCGTGTAAGGCAGGCTGGAGAGCTCGCTTGTTCTAGAGCCAAATACCCTAAGCCCACACCTACAAGTATTTAAGGATACCTTCTATCCTTGGCACTACAGGAGAATTCATTTGAAAGGTGGAAGAACCAAGCCTGAAATGTAACGAGTCTGAGGCTGGCCAGGAGGCCACCACTGAGCGCCCAGAGGTCACCGTGGGACTCATCACAGCCTGCAGGTCAGCAGATACTGGCTCTGTGTTACCAGCAGCTTAGAGCTGCACACCAAAGGCCACAGAAGGACTACGATTTCCAAAGAAGTTAAACACAGAATCAAGATCTTTTTCTAATTCCTGATGTAAACTGCTATTTAAAAAAAAAAAAAAAAAAAAACCAAACAGAAAACAATCAAAAACACAAAGAGATATTAAAGAGCGAGTCTTCTGTACATCACTGTAGCATGAGCTGCTTGAGGTTGTCGTGAAGAATAGTATCCTTGACGTCCCGGAACACCAGGCGGATGTTTTCCGTGTTGATAGCAGTGGTGAAGTGGTGGTACAAGGGCTTCTGCTGCTGGTCCCGGCGCTTGTTCCGGAAACATTCCACCAGGAATTTTTGGACGTCTCTTAAGCAGTGGGGATCCCCTTCGAATTCTAGGAAATAGTCTTTGATACTCACAATCTGCACTTTCTCCTCAAGCAAGTCTGTCTTGTTCAAGAAGAGGATTATGGAGACATTGCTGAAAACCCGGTTATTGACAATTGTTTCAAAAATGTTCAGAGATTCTGTAAGGCGATTGGTCAGTCGATCTTCCATAAGCACCTGGTCAAACTCACTGGAGGAAACAAGAAAAAGTATCGATGTCACACTGTCGAAGCATTCAAACCAACGTTTCCTTTCTGATCTCTGACCGCCGACATCAACCATTTTGAAAGGCACATTTTTAATTTCAAAGTCGTACTCATGAATGCCTTTGGTGGGTCTTCGAGCAAGCAGAATATCCTGTTGTGATGGAATGTAGTCCTGCAAAAGAAACAATTATTTCACATTTAGTAATTCAGAGAATTCTGAATGGACTATTGAGATTTCTAAAGACATTTTACGGTATATTAAAGCACCAACACTTTCATTCTCATTACAAAATGGCAATGTACATTAAAAGTTTAATCTACAAAGATGGCTTCCAAATTTACTACAAAGGACCACCTTATTTTTTCTTATCCCTGCACTACTACTCATACGCAGATTCAAGTTTATCTTCCAGGTGTCCTCCCCGCCCCCAGCGCAGTAGACCTGTTTTCCATCCTACTCGTCGGTCACCCACTCCTAGCTCCAGCCAGAGTGTTCTTACCACCCCCGCCCCACCTTCTCCACACTGCTCCCTGCTACACTCAAGGCAAAAGGTCTGAATCCACCACTGCTCCCTGAGGACCTCTTCCTGTTCTAGGTTCCAATGCTCCTTTCCTGGGCAAGCACCGACGACCTCCCCCGTGACTTAGAACTTCTGTACTGGGCCCCACCGTGCTACCCCTGCTGCTGTATTTCCTGTATGGAAAACACTCCTCTATCGGAACTAATTAACCGCATTTATTCAGGGGCGGGCCCTGGCAAGTTTTGTTTCCAGTGTGCACTCCAAGCAGCTATGTTCCTGCTTTCACATTTACTGACCTGAGAACTCATAACTTAGCTACTTATTCTAAGTGTCAACAACTCTGCCGAGATCATGCCTGGCCTATCTGCCTTGGGAGAGGGTTGTTGTGAAGATCAAGGGTGCTCTTCTCTGAACCCTTATCCACGAGCTCTGAGACCCTACACAAATGAAAGCCACTGGAGTCACAAGCCACACCCTGATGGCACATTTCCTCACACAATCCAACTGGTTCTTCTCAGCTCAGTTTTTTTTTTCCCCCAGAACTTTGACATAGACCTTTGGCAATATATGAAAAAAGACTAATGTTCATCATGATAAAAAAGCACTTTAAAAACAAATCAGGGCAGGGTTGGCCTTGTGGCATAGCGGGCAAAGCCATGGTCTGCAGCGCCAGCACCCCATATGGGTGCTGGTTGGGGTCCCAGGAGCTCCACTTCTGATAGAGCTTCCTGCTAACGGCCTGGGAAAGGTAGTGGAAGATGGTCCAACTATTTGGGACCCTGCCACCAACATGGGAGACGTGGAGGAGTTCCTGGTTCCTGACTCTGGCCTGGCCCAGCACCGGCCACTGTAGCCATCTTGGGAGTGAACCAGTGGGGATGTGAGGTCTCTTTCTCTGTCCCTCCCCGACCCCCCTCTGTAACTCTTTCAAAATAAATAAATAAAATCTTTTTTAAAAAATAAATTAAAGCAGGATTTAAATCACTTGTGGGGCAGAGATTTGACAGAGCAGTTACGACACTGCTCAGGATGCCCACATCCTACACCGCAGTGCCTGGTTTGAATCCTGGCATGCTTCCAGTTCCAGCTTCCTGCCAATGCATACCCTGGGAAGCAGCAGATGAAGGCTCAACTCTTGGGTCCCTGCCGCCCACATAAAAGGCTTAGACTGAGTTCTGGGCACCTGGCTTTAGGCCTTGCCCAGCCTTGGCTGTTGTGGGCATTGAGAGAGTGAACTAGCAATGGAAAATCTCTAGCTCTGTCCCTCTGCTTTTCAAACAAATAAATAAAAAATAAAAAATAAAGCAATTGTGATAGCTATTCACAATGATGCATTTTTTTGCCTTTCCAATCAGTATAATATGACTTTGAAATTCCATTACAACCTGAATATCATTCTTCTCGAAGTGGTATAATAGTATGAAGAATGAAAGAAAATGTAGGCAGTTCTTAGCTACTGGCAATCCATAGCCACTGATTAAATAATGCTAGGACTCTTTAAAAAAAGGAAAAAATCAGAGGCTGGTGCTGTGGTGCAGCAGATTAAGCTACTGTCTGCAGCACTGGCATCCCATATCGGTGCCAGCTCTAGGCCCAGTTGGTCCACTTCCAGTCCAGCTCCCTCCTAATACACCTGGGAAAGCAGCAGAGGATGGCCCAAGTCCTTGGTCCCTGCACCCACACAGGAAGCCAGAAGCAGCTCCTAGCTCCTGGCTTTGACCTGGCCTGGCCCTGGCCACTGTGGTCATGAACACTGGTGCATGAACGAGCCAATGAAGATCTCTGTCTTTCCCTCTTTTTCTGTAATGATTTTCAAATAAACAACTATTACTTAAAAAAAATAAAAAAGCAAGAAAATTAGTTTTTCCATGTTTGCACACACATAGCTACTTAAAAAAAAGGTGTATTTGAGGCCAGCACTGTGGCATAGTAGTTTGGGCATCTGCCTGCGGTGCTGGCATCCCATGTAGGTGCTGGTTCGAGTCCTGGCTGTTCCACTTCTGATCCAGCTCCCTGGTGATGGCCTGGGGAAGCAGTAGAAGATGGCCCAAATGTTTGGGTCCCTGCACCCACAAGGGAGACCCAGAAGAAGCTCTTGGCTTCAGATCAGCCCAGCTCCGGCCACTGCAGTCATTTGGGGAGTGAACCAGCGGACAGAAGACCTCTCTCTGTGTTTCTCCCTCTCTCTGTAACTCTGCCTCTCAAGTAAATAAATAAATCTTAAAAATAAATTTTGAAAGCATTACAGAGAGAGGGAGACATAGAAAAGGGAGAGATCTTCCATCCGCTGCTTCATTCCCCAGATGGCTGCAACAGCCAGTGCCGCCAAAGCCATCTGGGTCTCTCACGTGGGTGGTGGGGGCCCAAACACTTGGGTCATTTTCTGCTTTTCCCTGGCCATGAGCAGGGAGCTGGATCAGAAGTGGGACAGCCAGGACACAAACTAGCACCCATAGGGGATGTTGGTGCTGCAGGTGGCAGCTTTACCCACTACGCCACAATACTGGTCCCATACATATCTACTTTACTGATAATTAGCAGGTGTCCAGTCTTTAGTCTGCTTCCATATTTTTGCTTAACACTTTACATGAATTACTCCATATGCTGAGTGTCACATTTCATTTTAGAAGACTATAAAATACATCAAGAGCATTAATGTGCTACAAGTCACATTTACATCAATGTACTAGTGGTCATTTAGATTATTTCCCATGTTTTGCTGGAATTAACAGAAATACTGCAATTAAAATCCTCATGCACACACTGTTCTCTTTTGGCCTATTTCCCGAGACTGAGATGACCAGGAATAAGCAAAGCTCACATTGTCATGACCCTGGACACTTCATGAATGCCCAGCTGCTTCCTAGAAGGCAGTGCCATTTACAGTGCATGTCTATGCCAGTTACTTCAGAAATGTACAAGCCCTATCCTTTTAAAACATGTTCTAATTCCCTAAAAGTAAAAACTTTGCTATTATTGTCTTTATAAGAGCTAAAAATCTAGTTAGGAAGCTAACACCTAACACATTTGAGGCACAGAACACAGGACACTGTAATCAAGTTCTAAATGTGTGGCAGCTAAGAGTGGGTGTGGGCCTAGCAGGTAAGATGCCTGCATCCCACATCAGGCACTTGGGTTCAACACTCGCCTCCAGCTCCCAATTCCAGCTTCCTGCTAACACAGATCCTACGAGGCAGTGGTGATGGTTCAAGTAATTGGGCTCCTGCCACCTGGGTGGGAGATTTGGCTTGAGTTCCCAGATCCTACCTTTGTCCTCAGCCCAGCCCGACACCGTGAGCATGGGGGGAGTGAAGCAGCAGATGGGAGCCCTCTCTCTAGTAAATACAAACGGAAAAGCAAACAGTCTGGTGAAGCATGCTGACTGGGAGCGTGACTGACAGCCAGCTAACTAGCTTGCTACATACTAGCTGTGTGACGCCGGGCAAGTCACCTGCATTTCAATTTCCTCACTTGTAAAACAGAGACACTTGTAAGGTTGCTGTGAGGACTAAGCAAGTGGGATGGGTGAGGTGACTGGCGTCTTGCGTCAGCTGTCACTATGCTGTCTCCCACCACTGCCTCGGCCACCGTGGTCACTGCCCAAAGGAGGCTGCAACAGCCAGGCACAACTCCATTCCTTTTTAAATGCTAGCCAGTCACTTGCATGAAAGCAAACACAACACACACAGTAACAAACTCCTCTGGATTCCAACAGTGCATGTTCCTTTGCACTCCCCCCCCCCCCCCCCAACAATCCCAGCCTCTTTAGGTTTGCCTGACAGCTTGGATTCTTCTCTATCACCTCTGATTTTGTATCAAATCCTGTTCCTTCTTTGAATTCATTCTCACACATCCCCCTTCCTCTTTCCCACTGCCCCCACTGTTTTCATCTCAGGCACGGATCTCCATCTCTTCCTCAGTGTCTTTGTCTTGAGTGTCTCCCGTCTCTTGGATCTACCTAAGTCATTCTGAGGTCCACTGCACCAGAGCCCAACTCTACCAAGTGACTTTCAGGGCTCTCCTTATGTCTTGTCTTCTGGAATCAGCAGACAATTGATGCTGCATTGCCCAAGCTCACTACAGTGCCTAATATCAAAACCTGCACAAAATACTATTCAAAAGAGCCAAGATAGGGAGTCAACTTAGGGATCCACTGATGGATGAGTGGATAAAGAAAATGCTGCGTGGCCAGTGCTGTGGCATAGTGGGTAAAATCACTGCCTGCATTGTCAGGAGGCATAAGGAACTCAACTCTCCACAACCAAGAGATGAGGTCCTTGCCCTCAGGGAAAAAGCTGGGGACAGGACAAGCATGAAGCAGTCACCAACTCTCATACGTGCAATGAAGGGAAAAAGCAAGCCCGACCCTGAGACTAAGGAGAGGAGCGCCTCTGAGTGGTACGCTCAGAGCTGTGCTACCTGAGTGGGCTGAAACACCGCCGGCAGTGCCGATATCCTGTGGAGGTGCCAGTTTTGGTCCTGGCTGCACCACTTCCAATCCAGTTTCCTGGAAATGCACCTAGGAAAGCAGTAGAAGTTCTTGGGCCCCACACCCATGTGAGACAACTGGAGGAAGCTCCTGGCTTTGGCCTGGGCCAGCCCTGGCCATTGCAGCCATTTGGAAAGTGAACCAAAAGATGGATTTATCTCTGTAACTCAGGTTTTCAAATCAATTAATAAATATAAAAAAAAAAAATTATGATCTGACCAGATGGCAAAGGGATTGTAACATATAGACTTCTGTATTTTTTAAAATATTTTTTTATTTATTTAAAAGGCAGAGTTAAGAGAGAGAGACAGACAGACAGAAAGATCTTCCACCCCCTGGTTCACTCCCCAAATGGACACAATGGCCAGAGCTGGGCTGGTCCAAAGCCAGGAGCTAAGAACTTCTTCCAGGTCTCCCACCTGGATGCAGGGGACAAACGACTTGGGTCATCTTTTGCTGCTTTCTCAGGCACATTAGCTGGGAGCTGAATTGGAAGTGGAGTGGCTGGGACTTGAACCTGAGCCTGTATGGGATCCTGGTGTTTCAGGTGGTGACTTTATCCTCTATGCCATAATGCTGGCCCCAACACATAGACTTTTATACCAAGTTTCACTGATAAGTACTGACTGAGTAAAAAATTGGTAAGTTATAGAAATCTCAACTTCTGGAGGACACTTCTATCTAAGAAACTTGCAGGAGACAAACGCAATATAAAAGAATACAGGGAAAATCCAAGAACTAACTTGGCAGGGCAAAGGAAGGCACTGTTTCACATATCCTACATATACTAGTATGTTACCTTCCTGTTTGCAACAGCTTCCTTTTTTTTTTTTCCTTATGATTTACTTTATTTATTTGAAAGACAGAGTTATTGATAGAAGTAGAGACAGAGAGCAAGGTCTTCCATCTGCTGGTTCACTCCCCAGATGGCCACAACAGCGGGAGCTGCGCTGATCCAAAGCCAGGAGCCAGGAGCTTCTTCCAGGCCTCTCATGTGACTTGGGCCATCTTCCACTGCTTTCCCAGGCCACAGCAGAGAGCTGGATTGGAAGAGGAGCAGCTGGGACTAGAACCAGCGCCCGCATGGGATGCTGGCGCCTCAGGCCAGGGCGTTAACCCGCTGTGCCACAGCGCCGGCCCACCGGCTTCCTTCTATGCTTCCCTTCAGTTATAAAGTTAAAAGCTTTTAAGAGCCCATGAGACCATATTAAAAATTTATAACAAAAATTTGTTTGAAAAGGAGGCAAATGAAGCTACACTAAATTAAGTTAAAAATGATTCTAGGGCAATGGTTTTTTAAAAATGTCCTAAGCAGCAGAAACTTTTCTTCCAATGACTTCTTCTGCAGCTGTCCAATACAGAGAAGAGACAAGTGGCACTGATCTGCCTGCAGCGACCCCTGGGAGGCAAAGCCAGCCACAAAGCCAGGGGAGAGTTGCTGCCTCCAAAGAGCACGCTACAGGAAACCAAGCTCTTGTCCAGCGTGACTCCTCCTACAGCAGGCCTGCAGAGTGGAGCCTTCCTACTCACAAACGCACACAACACAACAGAGTCCCAAAATGCAGACGGTCGTTTGCCAAAAAGTCTGGAAGTATACTATTTCTGCTTTATAAGCTCGCCAAGTCATGCAAGTGTAATAGATAATTTGCAATCTAATTTTCAAGCATGAACTTCTTTCTGTGAAAGCCTTTACTTCTCACGAAATAGTGGCTAGGGTATTCTTCAGGAAATGGCAGAGGGGCTAGCGTTGTGGCACAATGGGTTAAGCCACCATCTGCAGCGCCGGCATCCCATATGGACACTGGTTTGAGTCCCAGCTGATCCAGCTCCCTGCTACTGTGCCTGGGAAACTGCAGAGGATGGCTCATGTCCTTGGTCCCCTGCACGCATGTGGGAGACCTGGATGAAGCTCCTGGCTCCTGGCTTTGGCCTGGCCCAGCCATGTCCACTGCTGCCATTTGGAGAGTGGATCAGCAGATGGAAGACCTCTCTGTTTCTTCCTCTATCTGTAACTGCATTTTTCAAATAAATAAAAATAAATCTTTAAAAGAAAGAAATGGCAGAGGCCTAAACAGTAGAGGAGAAACAGGAGTAGCAACTGAAAAATAAACATCTTTTTCTCATTTTGAAACAGTTAAAATCACTCAGTATTCATATCTACTAATCACTCTAAAATAAAACAGGAAGAGTCACAATATTGCTACTGGGAAAAAGGAAATGGCTTAGTATTTAATTTTTCTAAATTTTTAAACAAATCAGTATACATAAAAAATCAAATATGCAGACTACTGCTTTCAAACGAGGGAAAGAAACCAAACCAAACAAACAAACAAAAAACCATAAATATTCAAAAAACTTACTGGTTCTCCAAGTTTATCCAAGTTATCCAGGAAATATTTTACAGATTCACCCTAAAAACAGGAAGAAAACAAAGTTATTAGCGCTCAGACATGGAAGATCTTGCTGTAACAGTTTACATTACACTGTCTGGTTGTACATTCAATCCAAACATACTTTGTTTAGTCACTGATTTCAGACTGAACAAATCCTTCTAGAAACGTACAAAAGTTTGCTCTGCTACAAACTGCTAACTCTGCAAAGGCCGGCTAATTTCACAAAAGCTTTACAGAAGTGATGGCCCAAGGGACCGCTCTGTGATGGGTTTACATGCATGCTTTCTGATATAACGTGTATGCAAAGGGAAGATGCCTGGAAACTGCTTGAGATAAACACACACCAGCCACTGAAAGCTGAGTATGTTCCTGTGTGCACTGCGTCTTAAGTTTACAGCAGCGGCAGCTGACCTCAGAGACAAGACCAGCCAGAATGAGGGGAGGGCACCGTGTAAACCCCCTGTAACAGGCCTGTGCTAGGGCAGATTCTGGATGACGCCGCAGCACGTCCCCAGCAGGGCTCTTCCTGAGTGGCCTGTCCTTTCTGAGCCCAGATCTCCACTGACCTCTAAACCATGTAAGAAACAGTGCTAAAAAGACCTGCGGACACAGCACAGGAGCCCACAGAACAGGAGCAAGAGCCCTGCGTCCGAGTTTCCTGGCCCCTCTCCTGGGTGTTACTTTTTCAGTGGATCCTGCTGCTGCTGTGCTGCTCCTGCCCAAAAAATGTCTCCCCAGGTTTTAGAAACAGCGCCCCTTACTGCACAGGAGCGTCACCCGAAGGCCTCAGGACACTCAGGTCCTGACTTGGTAGGTCTGGGGAGAGGTCCCAGTTTCTGCAATTCAGGGGCTGCCCAGGACCACACTTTGAGTCGCAGGCCCTAAACCAGTAATTCTTAGCCTTTTTGGGCTCAAAACTTCTCTACATGTCTTAAGATTCTTGAGGATCTCAAAATGCTTTTATTTATATAGTGGGTTACAGCTTTCCATATAAAGTAAAAGTGGGAAATTCAAACAATTATTTTATTTATTAATTCATTTTAAAATATCAGTAACAGGCCCATTACCAGTTACCATGTTTGTGCAGCCTAACAGAAAACAGCAAGACTGAAGTGTTGAACAAGACTGAAGTGTTGAACGAACTATGGCCTCACACAAAGATGTACTGGAGCAGGAACTTTTTAAATAACCTTTCCAGATAAATGTAAATATTCTTTTCATACCAAAATCTGACAAGTTAATGGTTTCTTAAAAGTTAGTTCCCTGTGGAACTGGCAACCAACTTTCCATAGCCTGTCATGTTAGAATTTACGGTCTAACCTGTGCTGTAATCATCTTTTATCCTCCCATGTTCTGCTAACATCAGACGTTGGTCACTTGGAATAGAGGGGTTTCCCAAATTAGCATTCTGAATGCTGGCATGTTTCATCATAAAATGTCTAGAAAGTTTTATTTGTTGGGGCCAGTGTTGTGGCACAGCAGATTAAGCCACTGGCTGCAACACTAGCATCTCCCCCTTAGAGTGCTGGTTTGGGTCCAGGTTGCTCTGCTTTCAATCCAGCTCCCTGCTAATGTGCCTGGGAAGCAGCGAAGATGGCCCAAGTACTTGGGTCCCTGCCACCAACACAGGAAACCAGGATGGAGTTCTAGGCTCCTGGCTTCAGCCTGACCCAGCCCCGGCTGTTGCAGCTATTTGGGGAGTGAACCAGCAGATAAAGATCTCTCTTCCTTTCCCACCTCTTTCTGCCTTTCAAATAAATAAATATTTTTAAAAAGTCTTACTTATTAATATCATCTCAATCTTATAAGAGGTTTAAATATTGTGAAGCTGTCAAGTTCAGTGGTAAGCAGATAGTTTTCCTAAATTCAAATTTTCACTTGAAAGTTAAAAGTTAATCACTAGAACAAGGCTCTCGGGATTTCCCTTGAAGTGACAAGCTAGCTTCATCTTCTAAAAATTGTTAAATGCTCAAGTCTGCCTAAGTCATTTGCTCTTTCAAATAAAAATAGTGTCCGTGGCTTATGTGGCTAGCTCAGCTCACAACCACCCCAGCCGCCAATGTGTTCCTGTAGACAACCATCTTGCCACATGAGTGGTGGTAACGCACCCCCTTCCTCACAGAGAAGGGATGTGCGCCCAAGGGCAGAGAGAGATTTGACATGATCAACCTCACTGAGGCCGAGGGGTCTGCAGGTACACAACAGTGAAGACTACAACCAGGGGCCACTGTACTGACCTGTGTGCCAAGGCTTCGGCAGCTCCGCCCACTGGGCCCCTCCACCCTGCTGTGCGGTACAGTCAGTGCAAGTGCTAACAGTGAGGACAGGAAATTACCCCAGTTACCACCTACAGTTACTAACCGTCTTCAAATGAACCCTCCAGAAAAGGCTTTGGGGATTCCCAAGGGTCCATGGACCATACTTTGAGAACTGCTGCCTTAAAAATTTATCACAGAGATAACATTTAAGAGATGTGTGAGAGAGACACAGCATTCCTTTGGGAATTAATAAATTTTGGTATATTAACATAATATTGCAAATGATCAAATAAGATTTTGATATATTTGCTTGCACAGGGAATATCTATGCCTTATAGGCTAAATTAAAGTAACAGATTAGAAAGTGAAGGTCTACAAACTTGGCTTCGTTATTTTGGTGCTTTGGTTTCTTTTGTAAGCTTCGCACCAAAACACAAATGGCAGCAAACCCTGACCTGAACTGGTATGAGGTTCATTAGTTTTTCCTACAGTAAAACCATTAAAGTGTTTTGCTGCGAGACTCTTTCAGCCTTGAAGACCTACATGGGGTCTGTCCACAATGGCACAGCAGCCACAGAACAGGGTCCTGACTACTGACAGACAATGACTGGTGAACTTGAATGAGCCCTGAAGTTTGCAAAGTCCACCAGGCTCTCTGAATGGCGTTTCTTAACTTTTATACAGCTGGCTGTCAACTGAGAAGAGCCTCAAGGTTATCTCCCATTCATGACAAAAATTTGTCATAAACAGTCTTCCTTTGCTTACAAAGACAAAATGGGTGAAGAGCCCCAAGCCTGAAGGTAACAGATTCACAGATAAAGAGACTTAGTAGCTCAGCTACTGGACAAGTATTCCATGTTCTCTTCTGCACAGCTAAAATATATAAAGGACAAAATTTAGAAAGTACTACTTTAAGAGGGTACAAAACTGAACCTAAACAGCCAAACAACAACAACAAACACAAGAGGAAATCATCTGGGGACCAGAGTTCGGCCCAGCAGGTTAAACTGCCACCTCTGATGTTGACAATCCAGGAGAGCCGGCTGGAGTCCAGGCTGTTTCATTTCCAGTCCAGCCTCCTGCCAATGCACCTGGGAATGCAGTGAAGACGCCCCAAGTGCCGGAACCTCTTGCCACCCATGTGGGAGACCCAGATGGAATTCGAGGTTCCTGGCTTCGGCATGGTCCTGCCCCACTGTTGTTGCCATTTAGGGAGTGAACTAGCAGATGGAAGATGTCTCTGTCACTCAAATAAATAAGTGAATCTTTAAAAAATTCACCTGGTTCTTCAAAAAGTTTGGCAGCTTTATATCAGGTAAGAAAGGGCCAACTCAATTTACAGAAATTAAGTAAAAAGTAGAGATTTTAATGTCAAAGTATACAAAGATGAGGACCAAATACAAATTTTTAAAAAATTAAAGCAAGGAACACCATTTGGAAATCTACATCAAGATCTTCAAAGAAAATTCTCACCATAGCACTACTGAAAAAGTATATGCACACAACTGCAAAGTGGTAGTGAATTGCTACAGAAAGGTTAGTTGAGAGCCACCGGATTATTCTTTTTATTTATCAAGATTCTACAACAGGGGTTCAACCATAAACTACAGCCCACAGGCCAAATCTAGCCCACTGCCTGTTAGTGTATGGTCCATTTCCAAGTGTTTGGGGGAAAACTTAAAGTAATTATTTTATGACATAGGAAAATGACATAAAATTCATTTTTTGTGCCCGTAAGTAAGACTGCACTGGAGCACAGCCATGCTCCTGCGTGTGTTACCCACGGCTGCCTCCATGCTGAGAGGCAGAGGGGTTACTGCAGTCAGAGGCCATCCACGATGCTCTCATCACCTACACCAGTGTTCAGGGTACGGTAACTACTTACACAGCTATAGCCTAAAACTGTGCGCTCACCAGTACTGCTATACCATGACATTAAAAATTAGTGTACGTAAGTACCCATCCCTCAAAAAAGGAAAAAAAGACGTTGAATGTCATGGGATGTGGGTAACTTTTATATTAAATTAGATGATAAAAGCAATGTGTTTTAAAAAAAAAAAAGCACCGTGTTTATCACGCAGTGGCATCACAGCAATGCTAAAAGAATATGATGTACATCTACATTTATAGACTAAGCACATTACACTATGTTCCCAAACCACAGGATCAAATCACAAGTAGAATAGCTCATCACAAAAATAAAAAATGAAGATGAATTGCACCAAAGTAAATTTCCAAGTGGTTCAGTTATTAGTCATGTAGCGATAGTGAATTAAATCACTAGTCCAAGTGCTGGAGTCCCTACACCCAATGGGAGACCTGGAAGAAGCTCTGGGCTCCTGGCTTCATTCAGCCAGGCCCAAACCTGGCCACTGTGGCCACTTGGGGAGTAAACCAGTGGATGGAAGATCTCTCTCTCCCTCTTGGGGCTGGCACTGTGGTGCAGCAGGTTAACGCCCTGGCCTGAAGCACCAGTATCCCATATGGGCATGGTTTGAAACCCGGCTGCTCCACTTCCCATCCAGCTTCGGCCATTGTGGCCAATTGGGGAGTGAACTATCGGATGGAAGATCTCTCTCTCTGCCTCTCCTGACCTTCAAATAAATAAATAAATCTTAAAAAAAAAAATAAAAAGATCTCTTTCTCTCTCTCTCTTCCCCTCCCCTCCATCTGTACTGCCTTTCATATAAATAAAATTAATCTTAAGAAAAAAAATTTAGGGGCCAGTGCTGTGGCACAGCAGGTAAAGCCATCGTCTGC